GAGCAGGTCCTGCTCTGCTAACTGACAGGAACGTTGAGGTGCCATGATGGACGTCAGGGTCAGAAACTGGGATTCTTGCCATCTTAGCCAAGGCTTCTGTTTGTTCAAGTTGAGCTAACTTGTCTAGTTAGCTTGTAGAAAACCGACCCAAACCTTTCCCCTCCTGGCATCTTCGTTGTTTTCATCAAATTGCCGACTTTCCCTGAATTCACTCCACATGATCATTATGCCATAAACGGCGTTTCCTGTTTCACCAGAGCAGACTCAGCAGTCCGGATGCTAACCGCTACATGCTAGGCTACATGATGGCGAGCTACTGATGCCATATTTGATTGAATCTTATCTACTTATGGATATATAAAGTTTAATCTTCTTGTAAAAAATGTTGGCTCCAAATCCATGGATAACCAGTCCATCGCCGTCCTCTTTAGGTTTACGATAAAATCAGTTTGGTTCACATCCTTGTCTGTCTGTGCAGCCGACCTTCAGCACTGTCACCATTTTTACACCGAAATCAACTGAATAAAGCGAAATCAGGCTGCTTGGTTTTTGACCAGCTTTATGGGAGTTTGTTCAGTTCGTCTAGGCAGAGCTGGACGTCACATGGTCAGAGGGTGTTGACATTTCTGCAACATATTTCAATAATTAGCTTAAAGTACGCTAATGTTAGCATGTAGCACAACCCTAATAAAGTCTTTAATAAATCAGAAACTGTCCTCTGTCTGCAGGGATCGCCTCACAGCAACAGCCATGTTGTCCTAAAACGGAGGGGTCGACACAAACAGGACACTCTGACCCAAGTGGACCATTCAAAGTCCGTTCTGGTGTCCAGAAATGAGACCGGGTTCTGGAGCCGTCCTCGCTGTGGAGTCCCAGACTACCCCAGAGTAACGCCGCTCAGCGGGTCAAAGCTGCTGAAGAGGAGCAGAAAGGAGCGCGGCAAAAGATTTGCTCTGTTTGGAGGACGCTGGGACAAAACCGACCTCACCTACCGGTAAGAAGCGACCTTCAACCCGACTCCTCCAGACTCTGAAGGTCATCTGAAGGTCTGCTGCAGTGATGGACCTGAAGCCATCCGTCCTTTTCTGGTCCACTATTTGTTTGGTCATCATCCTTGAAAACATGTTCCTGTGCAGGATTGTTCGTTTTCCCTGGCAGATGAGTGAAGACAAAGTTCGGCGCATCCTGGAGGAGGCCTTTGGGGTTTGGGGTGCGGTCACTCCTCTGACCTTCAGAGAGGTCATCAACGAGAGAGCGGACATCATCATCGACTTCAACAGGTAAGAAACCCAAGAACACAAAGCAGATGTTCTGGTTTTAGTTTGAAAACGCGTTCTGGAGCAATTATTAGTGACTGGTAATAGAACAAATGTAAACAAGTGAGTCAGACCTGAACAATATTGAGAAGTCATACCGGCTTGTGGTCTGCAGTCAGTGTGTTTGAGGGAATAGGAAGGACGTTCAGAGTAACCAGTCCTCAGTCTGACGTGTCGCGTGGCGTCTTCGTCTTTGCCGTAGCAGAGCTCCGTTTCTCTGCCAGACCATCTTTGCTTCGACCTGCAGAGTTCAGAGAGGTTACAGACGGCGCTCCGCCAGTCTGATGCAACTTCCCAGATTAGTTACAAAACCTTTTAGACCACGAAGGCTTTCTGGCTCTGAGGTGGTTCTGGCATCTGGTTTGAGTCGAGATCGAGTTCTCTCGTTGAATTTCAACCGGCGAACAGAAGCAGTTATGATCCATGATGTTGAGTTTATCAATTGGGTAAAATCAGAGCGACAACCAAAAAAACTTTTCTGAACACATCTGAGGCTACATTTACAGGCCGAGTGGCAGAAAGGGAGTTTTGTAGTTCGTTGCTGCATGGTACCGTTTCTACAGCCAATGGTTTTCTGAGTCACTACAGAAACAGAAATGATTTATGTTGGTCAGAGGATGAGATCGGTTGTTCTGTAGGTACTGGCACGGTGATGACCTCCCGTTCGACGGTCCTGGAGGAATTCTGGCCCACGCTTTTTTCCCTCGCACGCTGAAAGAGGGAGAGGTCCACTTTGACTACGACGAACACTGGACGGTCGGCAACAGCGTCGGTAAGATGTCTGGGACTGTTCATGTTTGTGTGTGAGAAGCTGATGTGATCCCTGGATCGTCTTCGTCTTTGTGAAGGTACCGACCTCCTGCAGGTGGCAGCCCATGAGTTCGGCCATGTTCTGGGCCTGCAGCACTCTCTGGAGCCCGACGCGGTCATGTGTCCCTTCTACAGCGACTCCTACCCTCTGAAGCTCAGTGAGGACGACAGGAGGGGCATCCAGTACCTATACGGACCGCCGCGGTACACGCCGCCTGACATAACCGACACCAACGAGATCGAACCCGAACTGGTGAGACCCTGATCCGGTTTGGATCTTCAGAGCTGCAGTCCTGATCCAGTCATCAAGTCTTTAACTCCCAATTAACAAAATAAAAAGGTCATAGAAAGACCTTCAAGAAGAACTTCTGATCAAAACAGGAAACTGTTCTGGACTGAATCAAGACTTTCTATCCCTGCTGCTCTGTTTAACGTTTTTAGGCCAAAGAGTAACTGGTGTGTGTTTTCCCCAGCCGGACGCCTGCAGGACAAGCTTTGATGCCGTGTCCATGATCAGGGGAGAGCTCTTCTTCTTCAGGTCTCAATATGTTTGGCGAATCCGTGACAGGCGTCTGCAAGGCGGCTACCCGGCGTTGTCCTCGCGCCACTGGAGCGGTATTCCTGACTACATTGACGCAGCATATGAAGACAAGTCTGGAAACATCTGGTTCTTCCAAGGTACAGAAGAAAAGCCAACACTTCTGCTCACATCTCCAAGAAGCTGCTGGCAGAGTCTTCTCTCCTTCTGAATAAAGTTTCATACCGAAGAAGTTCTTGAGGTCAATTAACTGCTGGTCCAGTTGGATCCAGACCTGAAGGGTTTGTGTTTCGGCTGCAGGCGACAGCTACTGGGTGTTTGACGCTGGGCGGAGGATTTCTGGCCCAGACTCCCTGCAGCGGCTCGGCCTTCCGGTCACCGACATCCAGGCGGCTCTGCGGTGGGAGGACGGCCGCGCCGAGAAGGTCTACCTCTTCAAGTCTTCGTTTTACTGGTCCTTCAGCGTCCAGGAGAACAGCGTCAGCGACCTCCATCCGCGCAGCACGCACGAGTGGGCGGGGCTTCCTGGACACGTCGACGCCGCCTTTCTGGACAGCTACGGTGAGACTCTGGGCCCGGTTCTGGTGAGACTCTGGTTCTGAGGGTTTCATCCATCGGACCTCTTTCTCCCTCAGGTTACGCCAACTTCCTGAGCGGGCTGTACTACTGGAAATTGGACCCGGTGGCGCTGAAGGTGCTGGACGGGTACCCGCGCAGAATCGGGATGGATTTCTTCGGCTGCTCAGAGTCTCCATAAATTCGTAAACTTAGTGGCAAACTGAGAATAATCTGCTGAGTTATTGCCGTTTCATTAGGATGTGAACTCCTCACCTCGGGTACAACAGGAACCAGTCCCTCCCAGCTGCAGCCGGGTCCGGTTCTGATCCGGTCCAGTTGTCCTGGTGCGAGGAGCCACATCCACTGACAGCCAGTCGATCAAATGGTCGCTAAGTTTGATTATTAAAGGTGCTATTTCAGGTCAAACCTCAGTCATGGCAGACGGTAGAGCTACAGACCTAGAACCGTTCTCACTCCTTCACTCAGATCTGTGCTGGATGTTCTTCCATCTTTCACAGGAAGTTTATTGATGCGCTTCAGTCCTAAAGAAGAGACGTTTTTATTTTTCTATATGCCATTTGTTTTTATATTTAAAGTGTCTAATCAGTGCAGGACGCTGATGATTCCTCTGACCAGTAAAACATACTGGTGCTAAACCAGTTCTGGTGACTTTGTGCTTTAAACTGTAACAGAAAAACATGAACTGGTCAAAACCAATCAGACTGAGGAGGTTTCCCTCCTGATGGCCCAGTCGACCCGGTTCTACTGGAACCAGAACATCTGCTCCACCTCCAGCTGCTGTGGTTCTGAGTCAAACCAACCTGTTCCCCTCCTGGCCTGTGGGGGCGCTGCACCAAGAACCACTGAAGGAAACGACACAAAAACCTCTGAAGACACTGAGAGCAACTTCCTTCTTCACCAGATGGAAACAA